GCGAATTTTTCTTTTATTCTCTGTTAAATATCTTTTTACTGGTTCACATTATATTTTTCATTTTTTTTTTCTTTGGATTTGTATGGAAAATACACTATTGCCTACTTTAAAATGTCTGATAGGTATCTATAATCATACAGACAAATTAGGTACCATTAAAATAAAAATCGTTTATTGTGAAAAAACCATACATGATGTATTTTTTTCACTATTTTTCCCGTAATCAGCACCCAAAAACTATAAAACCCACCTATTAGTTTTAAGACCATTTTGCCATCGCAGGCCTGTGAATAAAAGGTGAAACAATTCAGATCAAAGGTTGTGAATTTGGTAATGTGAGCCTTACTACCGAGAAAAAATTGTCTGGTATTTTTAATGTTGTTAAATATGTAACAAACATAACGTCAAGTAATTAAAATAACAAAAACATAATTTAAGCTGTAATAATAATTTTTAGTCTAAAAAGAATCTGATCCAGTGATCCAGTTCTCTAAACAAAAACTAATGAAAGTAAATTATTCTCCAAGACTGGTTACTCTAATATCAGAAGTAAGACAGCTCAAAGCTATGGGTTACCACATACCAAGTGTTATTGAAGAAACTAGTGATCATGCCAAGAAATTTATGAAATTTGCAAGAATTCTGGAACAGGTATTATAAAGTATTATAAAAAATTTAAAAACGTCACTAGGTATATTGCATGTTTTTATGAATGTTTCGATAACTGTAAAAATACTGTGTAGGTCAAATAATAAACATTTGTTTAACCAAAATATTATAATAAAACAGTATCTGGAAAGTGTTTTGGTAGAAAAGCTATTATAGGTTCATACCTTCCCAAAATATTCTATTTTTGTTTATCCAGATAGCAAATTTTCATAATACAATTGGAGACAGGATGATCACTTCTCAAAAACCTATGATGCTGGCCAGTGCCCTAGAATTATCAAAACTTGTGCAAGAACAGGAAGTTGTTTCTTGGGGAGAAGAAAAATCGGTGGAAAAGTATGTAGAAACGTTAAAGAAGGCCGTGGAAAAATTATCCAAAGAAAATAATCTTCTCACGACGTACCACTTACAAATAATGGAAAAGGTAGGGAAAAATTTTAAAGGTGCCGAAATTATTGTTAACACTATCATTTTACATGAAATTAAATTGTTTTCTCTGGAATATCATACTCGTTGAAACATGTTTTTATTTTATAGATAAAAGATTTGGAAGACGTTGACCTGATAAAAGATTACAGTAAATGGAAGGAAGCGACCAAATATATGCGAAACATAATGAACCAAGTAGAAGATAAAGGTTTTAAAAATATGCAAACTTGGAAGAACGATTTGGATAAAAAACTGGCGAAAGTTTTGGAAAAGCAGTACATTGAAAGCTTGGATACCCTTCATTTATATTTACCTGAAATTCATATAGATTTAGTGTATAGAAATTCAAAGCTGGAATATTTTCCAAACGAGGAAACGTTAAAGAAATTGTACGAACAACAACTAAAAAAGTTTTTAGATATACCTAGGAATTTCAGAGGGATTTCTGATGTACCTGAAAATAATTTGTTTCAGGAAATTATAGACAGGTATAAAAAATTTACATAAAATAACATACTGTAAAATTACCTTTGCTCTGATGATTGTTTTAAATTCTCCAGAAATAAAACCGCTTTGGAAAATGCCTCGAAACATACTGAGGAATTATTTGATCAGCTTCAAGGTGTAATAAAACACTGGCAATCTTGGTTGCAGTTAGAAACTTTAGATACTAGCAAACTGACAACCTGGCAACATTGGGATCTACATTTTAGAGCATCTAAAACATTTGGACAGGAAATAGCAAAGTTACCAAGGTATGCATATTAATAATATTCATGTTTAAGTACTTCTATTACAACGAGGTGGTGGACTGCTGAAATGTATATGTCATTGTATATGTCACTCTTTATATTTCAAGAAAAGAGCCATTTTCAAACAAATGCAAACAGCGACTTATTACACAATTATAGACAAATACTCAACTGCTTAAAGTCAGTTGCTTATCAATTCAGTAACACGATGTTATAAGGAAATAGTTGTCATGCAATTTATTTCTCACATATAAATAATACTATAGATAGTAACATACACTGATTTTACCATCGGCCGCATTAATGTTTCAGCATATAAATTGCATGCTTCTAACATTTTTTAAAACATATTTTGATGATAGAAGGGGATATTTGTTATATAATAGCTAGAACTTGTGTATTTACCACTTCAGTTGTCCCATTGGGATCTAATCTAAGTCCTCTGTTATCTTAAATCTTCATAAATGAGATTGGTACTATTATAAATTCTCCTATTTAAGTAAATTTCATGCCACCATGAGTCAAAAATCTTATAAACATTTATGTAACAATTAATTTATACGATTTTACTTCTATCCAGATACAACTGCTGAAAACATGCCTCTTGACAATGTATAAATTTTCGTAAATTAGGTTCATGTTGAACAAATAATTGTTACAATGTCAATTTATTTTAAAACATAAATCTTTCGATGTCTTTAAATAAAGAATTTGAAGCTTGAACTGTTCTACCTTTGATGCTGAAATTGTGACTTGTGTACATGTATATTTGATAACATTATTTTTTAAGCACCGAAGAAAGAGTAGGGTGCTTTCTGATTGGCCTTTCCAGACTACGATCTGATCTTGAATCTCATAACAGAAGTTACTGGGATCAGTTAGTTTTCTCTCTCAAAGACTCTATAGCACAGGACATCGTCAAGCTGCAGAACTATGTGGATCCCTCTACAGCAGCACTGACTAAGCAACCAGTTACCATAGAAGAGGTGGGGGGAATCTGGTATTACTCATGGAAAAATATTAAAGGATGCACCAGAGGTAACAAATAATATATTTCTTGATAGTATTACTCAGAATCACAAAATATTGTATAGCAGTTTCTAGTAGGAATGAATGAATCGAGCGTCATTTACGGTCGATCTAAATACACATTTTGTATTAATTTTACTACTTTTTCCCAAAAAATTAAAAACGATAAACCAATCAACACACCAAAATAAAGAAAGTACGTGATATTCGAATGCTGATGTTATTGGTGTGAGTGGATATGTCGCTTGAACTTAGGCATGTCAGTAGTTATTTAATTTTTTTTTATGTTAAGATGGAAGAAACTTTTAACGAAATGTTGAAGAAATCTCAGATGTTGGCAAGCTGGTCCAGAGAACAAGTCGATTCGGTTAACAGGCTAAAGGGTGCGTGGGAGCGGTTGCAAAGTTTACTTGATAATCATCAACATATTATAGCCAAACAGGTAATAAATTAATACAAAAACAGTACTTTTACCGTTATTATATCTTTTATCTCACTCGACTTAAGATGGAGACGATAAAAACAACACTTAACATCGAAAAAGAAAATCTAGATAAAGAAATAGAGCGTTTTTCTGCAAAATGGGAACAAATCAAACCAAAGCCCCATTCTGGAGAAATAATTGATAATACCATAGATAATCTGCATAATCAATTGTTGGAGATTAAAGACAAAAGGACAGAATGGAATACAATACTAGAAAAAAAGGAAAAAATATTGTAAATAACTCATAATATAATAATATCACTTATTTCTATTAAGCCTTTGATTTTTAGAGCCGACCACATTAAATTTAATATTGACACACCTCACTTACCATTAATTGAGGATATTGAGGCTGATGTGTCTAAGGAGGAGAAATCTTGGACGATTTTTGAGGAATTTTATTCAGGTAAAGTCTCATTGCATTTAATTTTTTAAAAAATAATCTGTGAAATCTGTTTTTTTTTTTAATAAAACGAAAATTATTGAAAACAAATAGTATATTATGTTACTAGGAGGAGAAGGCGAACATTACATGTTGAGCCCAGCTGGGCGAAACATATAATGTACCTTCTACTCCAAGTGACATATACTATTTTTTCTTCAAGCGTCAAAATAAAAAAAATTGCAACTAATTTCGAAAAATGACATCAAATATGTTCAATTTTGGCAAAAAAAATAAAATATCTGTAATACTAATCATTTTATTTATCAATTTAGCATAACATAGTACTAACCACTTTATTTATAAATTAAACATAGGTAACATTTTTTTTTAATTGGAATTAAAATAAAGTATAACATTTTTAGTTCTTAAACATCGAAATCTATATTACTTATAGGTCTTTCCAAAAACCATTATTTATTAACATGAATATTAAATGTGCAATTCTGTATAGTACAGTTGCTTACGTTTAAAGCACTGCTGGCTGTGTTTGTTTCTAGATTCATAGTTCTGTTGAATACATTACTTGTAATAAGATTGTCAGTTTGATTGTTCAAATTCTTTCATTGTTGGCAGAAAATTCTTCAGTAAAAATGTTTTCAGTTTGACTTGAAGTACTGGGCTCATTATACTCTAATGGGTTTAGTTTTTTCATCGCTATCTGCTTTTTGTTGTTTACAGATTCTTCAATGTATCCTTCAGTAACGCTGGTGGACTTCCTTCCACCATGTCGCTTTAGGGTTGTTATATCTCCACCAGTATCAACTAAGATAGTTGCCGAGGTTCTTCTAAGACTATGGCCCGTATATTCATGTGAATTTGGCAACTTTAAAAACGACGCCACATGTTTTGCAATGTTTGAAATTTTATGTATGCCCTTCAAAACACGATGACAATGATCATTTTGATATTTAATAAAAAATGTACCAAAAGTTATATCTTTTGGCCGAGGAGTAGCCTATTTTCTGTATAAATTTAAATAAAAATCTCCAATTATAGTAAATGAGCGACGCTTTTTAGTTTTTGTGTTGGGATTATTTATTAAGATTAAATCTCCCAAATCTTTTAAATCATTAACTTTTATATTAACAAGTTCATCGCATCTACAAGCTCCTGTGACTCCAAATATTAGTACAACCTAAAAAATATACTATATTAATTTTATAAAAGTAAAATAGTTAGAGCAAAAAAAAAGTTGAAAGTACAGGATTCAAACCCGGGCCTTCAAATTACGAGTCCAACACTCAGACAACTGAGCTTCCTAACTTAATCAAAGCATTCAATTCTTTTTATCTATTATTTTCATAGCGGATGGATATAAAATAGCTCGAATTTTACAAATTATAAGAAAATTTTATATTATAGATATGAAAGGTTAAATATATAATTATATTATAATTATATATATATTAAAATGCGTACATACCTGTGTTGCTAAATATTTATCATTAGGTCCTTTATTAAGGAATTCATCAAACTCTTCTTTAGACAAAACTTTTGACTTTTTAGGTTTATAGTTTTCGCCTTGTCGCTTTAAAAAAGGCAATTAATTTAGAATAGTTGTCAATATTTACATTGTGTTCGATGTTTAATTTAAATTTTACCATTGAATATTGCGCCCATAGAGTTGAACTTTTCAGTTGTTTGGATAAATGTGTATAATACGCTATCACATTTTCCGAATACATATGTACGTTGTTGTCCTTGGCCCATTTTATAAATTTATCGTACGCATTATCGTAAATTTTTTTTGGATTTCGCGGCAATTAATGTTGCCACTGATGAATTTGCAATTTCAAGTAATTCAGGTGGTGTGCACTGCATTTCTTCAGGCATTTTTGCTTTTAAATTTGAAAACCGGCCCGACGTGAAATTTAAAACTGACAGTTTTGACAAGTCATAGTTACTTTGATTTTTAATTCGTTGTATGATAGGTACACTGCTGTGCAAAACTAAGTAGGGCAGCACTTATTACTGTACCTATAAGAGTTAAAAAGCGAGATAAGAAGAAAGGAGTATTAAAAGAAGGCCTTTAACTGGGAGACGGAGGATAAATGATGGTTGAATACGATCAGCAATTAGTAAATTATCTGCGTGGAAAAGCAGATACATTTATATTACATATATATTACACCACCACTGTCCTACTTACTTTTGCACAGTAGTGTACATTGTTTCATTTTTGTCTTAGGAAAAAAATGAAAAATATTTGTGTTAGTACAAAAATAGCCTCTTTCTCCAGGACGTGTTGCAATATATAATGTAAATATTGTTATACGCTTTAAGAAAAACTGTTTTTTTTTTAATTTCTCTGCTAATATTTATCTAATATGTATATGAACAACGCAGAGATAAGTCTATCACCATTTTCTTATAATTTGTAGAACATGAAGAATTCACCAATGAATTCTGGATAGTATTCAGGAAAAAAATATATTTGTTTGAAGATTTTCTGAAAGCATGGCATAAAAAACTGATTGAAATAGAAAACACCCCTTTAGTAACGAGAATACTACAGGAAATACACAAATATCAGGTAAATTTAACACACCACAAAAATATATTACTCAATTTTTTTTTAATTTTAGGCTATTACGCCACTATTAAAATATGTTAGAGGCGAGGACTTTTCTGAAAAACATTGGATGGATACTTTTAATTTATTGCAAATGGACGTTAAACCGGTGGACCAGTTAGTTTTAAACGATTTTTTGAAAGTTTCACAAAAACTAGAAACCTCTACAAAAGAACTACAGGCATGAAAAGTATTTTTAAATTATTAAATGACATTAATATTTAACCATTATTTTAGATCATTTCCAAAAAGGCAGCAAGCGAAATAGTTGTCCGACAAGCATTGTCTGAACTGGATCAATGGGATGTTCAAGCCAGATTTGTCCTAACACAACATAAAGATTCGCGAAGTAAAGACATTCTGTTGGTGAAAGATTTCAAAGAAATCCTAAACAAAGTAAGTTAAACCAATAAACTTTCGCTTCGGCCGAAAAAACTTTATTAGGTAAAACAATTCAATTGAAATATACTTAAATGAAATACACAAAATGGTAAAATTAGTAAGGACCTCATCTAAAAAGAATTATAGGGTACCACAAGGATCCACATTGAAACTATTTTTCTCATACTTGCGTCAGCTATTTTTACCAAACAGAAAACTTTAAAAAATATAGATGATATTTTACACAAGTTGTTGGCTGTTAAAGTAGAAATTATTTCTTCAATAAAAAATAGAAAAAACTTTATTTCCTATTTTTATTTCTAGAGGACTTCCAGCCAAGTACATGAACAACTTGTCCTACGTTTCGTCCGAGTTTTCGGACTTTTTCAAGGTTAAAAGCTAAAAGTATTAAAAATAATGGTTTTACATAAGTCGTAAATTATATTAGTGACAGAATGCATATCTAAAAAAGTGTTTTCTTACCTAATATAAATTTCCTATTTCAATTTCATTGTATGGGTGGGTTTTATTTTGTTTTTCATCATTTATTTATTTGATAGATATGTGATGTACGTGTAGTTCGACGAGTTAGGCAGAGAATGATCAGTATTTGGTGTTGTCGTTGATGTGTTTCTTTTTAAGAGTAGGTAATTATAACAGCTGAACTATATTTATGGTCCGAGTGACAGAGTTATTGTAAACATTCACATGATATTGGATAGCCGTTGGGAAGAGGTTTTGCAGTTAGTACATATACAGGATGTTTAAAAAATTGTTACTATTGAATAAGATTGCGATATATGCTACTTAAATTTTCTATATCTGTTTGATAATTTGTTTTTTTGTTGTTTTGTATTTCGGCCATTTCCAAAAACATGCGTTTTTTGGTATTTCTTTCTTTATGCAGCATGGTTGTATCCGGAAAGTTAAAACTGTGTGAATTATTTATGGCGTGTTCTGTTAATCCTGTGCTACATGAATTAGGAGTTGCTATGGAATTTCTAATTGATAATTTATGTTGATTTATACGTTCATTTAAATATTGTTGGGTTTGTCCAATCGCAATCTGAGCAATCAATTTTATAAATAACATGGGTTTGATTTAATTTCTCTATTGGATCTTTTAGTTTTGAATATAATTTATTTTTTATGCTCTTATCATTTCTATATGCTAATTGTATGTTATATTTACCTAATTCTTTCTGAACTTTTTCTGATACTTGTGGTATGTATGGTGCCGATATGTATATTTTGTCTTTATTTGGATTGTTTTGATTTTTGTCCTGGTAGGTGTTGTTAAATATGGGTCCAAAACGAAGGTCCGAAACGTAGGACAAATTGTTCATGTACTTGGCTGGAAGTCCTCTAGAAATAAAAATAGGAAATAAAGTTTTTTCTGTTTTTTATTGAAGAAATAATTAAAAAATATATGTGGATTGTACAATTATTTCAATTTCTTCTGCTACACAGTAATATGAGGTGCTTATCTTTTATTTTCAGATTGGCGATAATCAAAGTCTACTACAATCTGTCAAAAACTCAGCTGATTATGAATCATTTGCAGATAAAGCTAACATGTGGGAAAATAAATTATGCGATCTTGATCATTATCTCACGTCATTGACACAAATTCAAAGAAAGTTAGTAAAAAAAAATTTTAATCTTTTATTGTTTATTGGTTTGATTAATTTCCCTGAAAACTTTGAGGTGTTTCACGTTTCATCCTCAATAAAAAATTTTAAACATCCACAGTTAATATTTTTTAGATGGATATATTTAGAACCAATTTTTGGAAGCGGAACTCTGGCCCAGGAAAAGACAAGGTTTGATAGAATAGACAGAGATTTTCGTCATATTTTGAATTTTATTGAGAAAGATCTTCGAGTCGCCGCACTTTGCAGATATCTGAATTTAAGGTCACTCTTGGAGGGCATAATGGATCAATTAGCCAGATGCCAAAATAGTTTGGATAACTTTTTAAAGGTACAACATATCCTATATCGAAAATATGAACGATTATAAACATATTTTTTTAGGAGAAACGAGAGAAATTTCCACGGTTTCTTTTCCTTAGCGACGATGATCTGTTGGAAGTTGTTGGACAATCAACCAAAGAGCAAGTGATACAATCTCATTTGAAGAAAATTTTTGCTGGTATACACAGTGTGACAATAGATCAAAACGGAATAAATATCACTGCTATGTGTTCTCTACAAGGGGAAACTGTTCAATTATTAAATTCTGTAAACATACAGAGACCTGTGGAGGTAAATCATTTTGTAATATAGAAATGGGAAAGATGTAGATCTCTTAAGAAACGACTTCGTCAGAGGATAAATCTGGGTTTGGTAATAATGCCATATATACTATTACCAACATAAGTGACTTAAATCTACACTACTGAAACTTCAGTTTTTAAGGGCTTTATTTTATCTCTATACAAAGGCATATAATTTTCCAATATGTATACTATAGGTTATATAGTTTAAATACTATACTCATTCCTATTTAATAAGATTTTCTTTATACATAGGCCCATTACATCGCAACGGAACATAAGGAGTCCACAAGTCGTCGCCATCTAAACCGGTTATTGCCATTTAATTTGATTTTTCCGCAGGATGTCTCTTCGAGAACTGTTCATCTACAGGTAATCCTTAATCGATCCCTACTACGTGAGCCTTGGTGGCTCCATTCAATGGCTTACCGTGCTATGCCATTTACCAGATATCTGAGTGTACGGACCAGCCATCACCATTTTCTTTTCTGGATTTTTTTTTCAACCAGTTTCTATTCAGTTATTATCTAGAGTTCTATATTGGTGGTCTGATCCGACTATTAAATGCGCAGTATTCTTCATAAGCATCTGTCTATAAAGACTTGCATTTTTCTGGTATTTGATTTTGTTACTTTCAAGGTTTCGCAACCATATTATAGAATCGACTTAACATTGGAGATGAAGATACAAATTTTAGTTTTATTGGAGCACTCTCTAGATATCCAGATGTTTATAAGCATTCCAAAGGTCTCTCTAGATTCTGTATCCTTTATATGTATCTTTATCTATTATACTGCCCAGATAAATGAATTCTGTGACGATCTCAATAGACTTTCGTTTATGCAAATGGGTTCGGTATTGCGAGTATTGAGACGAAGTTGTTTTGTTTTATTTATGTTTATTTTTAATCCTACCTTCCGAGTGTCAAGGTATAGTCGTTCGACTTTTTGCCTCATATCCTCCAGTATGTGGTACATGATATATATATTATGCGCGTAATCTAGGTCATGTAACCATCCATTAAGACACCAC